TCCAAAGTCTCTTCGTCTGTGCGAGTTGATAAGGCCTAAAGCTTCAGGGATTATCTCCATCCCCACTTCCTGTTTTTCCTACTCAGGGCGATAGTGATGTCCTTCAGCGGAAGAGAAAAGTGTACTCTTTTCTTCAGGATCAAGAGGGAACGAGGCCTAATTCAGCAGGTGGCTTCGCCTTGGAAGCCCCTTCAACCGGGCGCAACAGCTTTAATCGACGTTGCCGCATGATGCCCTGGCACCGGTGACTGCAGTGGAGCAGCACAGTCACCACGACGACAAGGCGCCGAGCTGGAAACGGATCCGGGTTGCTGAGGCGATCGGTTCCGTCGGATCCGGTACAAGTGGGAGCAATAGATGCGAAGAAAAGTGGCTTCATAATTGTTGAGCTCACTTGCGTTTCGAGTGTGAAAGTGATGCGTGAAGAGATTGCAAGCTCGGTTGCTTTACCGCAAGACACATGCCGACGCTGCTTCGATTTTTAGGGTGAAAAGGTGCTCAGCTTTCGTGCGTCACGTGGGGAACATGATCAGACCAAGATGTCCTCGTCAGAAACGAGTTTTCTCAACTCGTCAGCTTCAATTTTGTTGTGACGACGGTGCCTCGGTCTGATCATCCTCGTCCCGTGACGCAGGCAAGCTGAGCACCTTTTCACCCCGCAATCGAAGCAGCGTCGACATGTATCTTCCGGTAACGCCGATCGCCAGCTGGTCAAGACGAATCCGTCGTCGTCTTCCGCTGGAGACGACCTTGCAATCTCTTCACGCCACACTTCCACTCGACAGGGCGCACTCTGCCCATCCGACCGTCTGTTGTCTCGGTCGTTGAGGCACTCCACTTGTCTCCATGGCGGCGTGTCGCCTGGCGATTGAACCACTTCCCTCCTGCCTTGGATCGCCTCGAGAGGTCTGGAGCCGATCCGCTTCTTGTCGCAACTGTAGATAGTCGCGTTGCGTTGCACTTGCTGGTTTGGGGTCAAATTGCGACAGCGGAATGGTGGCCGAAACGCGATCACCGTGCAGACGGTACGCCGAAGAGTCCAGTTCACGTGAGTCGGAAGTGGACGCTGGCAAATGCAGCTTCTATCTCCCCATCACCATCGGCAACAGACGCCGAGTGCACTTGCGGTACCGGATATCCTCACTTTTGCGCCCGGCCATCTTGTTGTCGTGTTTGCCGAGTCCTCCGAGCGCGGGAGGCGCGAATTGTGCGAAAAGTGTGAGCAATCGGCCGCAAAAGCCGACCGTTGGAGCGGGTCACAACGGCAGAGCCTGCTGTTGACCAATCAGACTGCCCGGTCAAGGTGACGAGGAGTAGAGGGAATAGAAACCGGCCTATCAGATGGTCCGGAGGTGCTAAGCCTGTATCGATCCGGTCCGGCCCAGCTTGGCCTGGCATGCCTGGCACGGTCCTGTATGGCGTGGACTGGGTCATAGCTAGACGAGTCTAGCATGGGCTCGTCTCATTGGTCCAGCAGGCTC